TAACAATTCTCTATTTTAACTGCCTGGAAAAAGGTGAATTAGTTCAGTAACAGGATGAAATAAAAAATATGTGCTTTCTATTGTTTTTTTTTTTTTTTCCCCTGTTAGGTCTTTTTAGATAGTTTCTGGTTCTTTGTTAAAAGTTACAAATGCTATGGTTCTTTCCTGAATGGGAAAATCGCTAATCTCCACTTATACCTACACAGGAACTACAAACCACTACCAACAACTACTTCTAAACACTACACTCTTCAACTCCCACCCCGTACACACACAAACCATTGAGAGGTGAAAATGAGACAACTATGCCCTCATTTCCTTCGCATTTATATGATGAAGGCAAAGACATACTTTACCTCTTCTTTGGACTTCTTAGATTTCTCATCATCTTTCTTGGTCTTTTTTAAGGCATCAGTACCAACCACTGAGAGGATATTTCTTAACCTGTAATAAAAAAGAGAGAAATTTAAACAGAGTTGTGATGAGATTTTGAAAAGTACATCTAAGAATGGAGATAAGCTCCTCCTATTCTCTCGCCATTCAAATTCCAAGAAACCTTCTTTAAGAGTCAAGATGTCATGCCTAAACTGCCGGTGATTTCTTTCACTCAATCTTCTTTATGTGAGGATTCCCTAAATTAACTCTAATTACCATATGCAATTTAAAATTAACTAGCCAAAAAACTGCTACCACTTGGTCTGTGAAGACAGCCCACCTTCACTTAATGTCACATGTGCTGGATACTGACTCAGGTGCTCAATCTACAACAATAACTAAAAAACAGTTTTTGATTTCAAATAGCATAGTCCCAGAGCATTCGACTGCAAACAGCACAGTCCGGGGAAGGGGTCAGGGGGAATGGGGACAGAAAGTAACAGAGAACTACAGTACATTATACTAAGTATTATGACGGTGGTGAAATACAGGGTGCTAAGGGGAAACATAAAAGGAGTATCTAACCTAAGTTTGGAGGGAGGATCAGGGAAAGCTTCATAGAGGTGGTGTTACCTAACCCAAGCCATCATTTCGTCAGATCAATAGGTAAAGAATGGAGAGGACTGCTGAGGCAGAAGGGTCAACAAATGTAAAGGTCTGGAGGTAAGAAAAGTGTGTTGAGCTTGGAATCACAAATAGTTCAGTATAACTGGAGCATGGAGTACAAGAAAAGTGGTATTTTTTCCTTGTAATTGAAACCAGCATTGTTGGTTCTATTTAATGGACATGAGATACTGTTAAAGGTTTTAAAGTGATTAAACACAGACTCTGCAAAGCAAAGGAAAAAAAATGATGAGGAGAGTTGGACAGTAGATAGACAAGAGGAGGGCCTTATAATTGTATACGACTAACCTGTCACTAAGAGCTTTGCAACTTTAAAATCGGAGAATTATGAGAACAGTGACCCTTTTCAATAATATCCAAAAAAAAACCCAACATGTTTTATGTCATTAACAAGGAATGCATTTGTTATCAAAATTTTCAAAGTTCAACTACAAATGTTTACTCAACTCAAAATTCCACACTGGAGAGAAAAGGAGAAGGAGCATATTAACATCCTCTTTACAGTGTATAAAGAAAAATTAGTACTGAAATAAAAATTGGCTCAAGACTCAGATTATGGGTTAAACTATATAGACACAACTTAAGATATTCTATTAACAATATCTGAGACATTCTATTAAAGTTTTTGCTACAAATACCATTGGAGCCAGAACCTTGTGATTTAAAAAGAGAAGAATAGATATTCGGAAAGGGCACCTTTCTCTTCTT